GCCTCCTGGGATGAGGTATACCTGGGTGGTCGACAAATACCTTTGATGTCGACACCCGTGCGTCCAGACTGTCGCGCTGAGCTGACAAACAGCTGATCAGCTGTTTGTTGGCTCAGTGCGGCAGCCATGTAAATTTAAATGAAGCGGCGATTATTTAAATCGCCGCTTCATTTTCCTATGTCTGGTAGCCTAATCTACATGCCTCTGGCGACAGAGGCATGTAGTATAGACGTACCCTAAGTCCATGAACTCTTCTGCAGAAATATTAATGGTCAGTGGGTCCTGGAGAATTTTGAAATAAATTGCAGTGATAACTGAGTTTAAATCTTTTTTTTTCTTTTCTTTTCTGACTACAGTGGACAAGTGGTTCTATTACCAGAAGAACTAAGACCTAAGGATGGATGTTTGAAATGCCTACATTCCTCCTACCAGGAATCCATAAGTGGTGGGCAGGGGATGAAAAATTCTAGCATACAGTTCCAAAAGGGAGGAGGGAGCGGGAAGGTCTTATCATAGGTAACTTATTAAAACAGAATTGCATATCTACCAATGATGTGGAATGGTCTAAATGTACCAAGATAACGTAGAGACTAAAAGCAATATTTTTGTAAGAGTGGCTTCATGTATCTTTGTACATTATAATAGTAGATCTGCTCAACTGTGTACAGAATATTTGATGGACGTTCACTGTATGTTAGAAATAAAATTATTTTGCTGAAATTAATTCTGTGGATTTCTGTCTCCTCCTTTTTTCTCTTCTAGTTTGCTAAACACAAAGCTACTCTGCTGAATCAATTAAGATTTTAAAAATTTTAAAAACCTCTAAAAAGGTTGCATATGTTCATTTTGTGAGTCACAGCACAAGGATTTGGTGGAGGAGGGTGTAAAGGACCACGCTGCCCCGTGAGGTTACTTACTCACACCACCCTATTTATTAGGACACTCCTTCTATCTACAATCCCAACACAGGCTTGCGCATCGGAAGGGAAATCCCAACCTCCCTGCGCTTTCCGAGGAGGTACGTTTTTAAGTCTCATATACCCAGCTGTGGGGCTTGCTTTGCTCCGGATGATGGAGTAGGGGGGTTTGGGCCCTCCCTCTCTCCGAACCCCAGCCCAGGGCCCTAAGGCAGGGATCACCTATCCCTGCTCAGCGGTTGGGGTATTGCCCCTAAAACCACCTGCTCACGGGCTCCACGACCCTGCCCTGGGCTGCTTCCTACTCCGTATCTAGAGGTAGGTCCATTCTGGCTCCCCACTCACCGTTCGCCTGTCCGAGCATATCTCTCTCTCTCTCTCCCCTCCTCCTGGCTGACGAGACGCCTTTTTAAATCCCCCTCCAGCGGGGACCCTGGTGTCATTGCCTCTGCGCCTCGGAGTTGCTCCATGGTGATGTCATCTGCCCGCGCCTCCAAGTTGTCACCGCGGGCTGCTCTAGGCGCTCCCCGGGGCCAATCCAGAGCGGCGTTGCCTGGTCCCGTGTCCCCCTGACTGGCATGCCCTCCCCCCAGGATTTCGCATGCCCCTCGCCCTGATCCTCCCGAGTGCGGGTCAGGAGTGCCCTGTCACAGAGGGACTGTAACATAATTTCAATGATTGTAAGAACATGGTGCCTGTGCTTGAAAAATGCAGATATCTAGACATGCCATGGTAGCAGAGTGCTGCTAACATGTAAATCTTAATTACAAATCTCTTACTCCAGTGCATCAGCTAGACCTTAAAACACGAAAACCTTTGCTTGAGTATGTTAACTTTAATACATTTGTGTAAATCTAAGTGGTGTGGTGGTAATTTAATATTACTAAAATTCACCAGTTAGCAGAATATTCTATTTACTCCATACCTGAGTGGATACAAATGGATTTAAAAGATCTAATTTGACTTAGATACATTTAAATACTTTTTTTAAATACAGGTTTATTTTAAAAATCAATTTAAAATTTGGAAACTGACAACCTATACCAATGGCTAAACTAATTATAAACTGTTAAAACACTGAGGCTATGTCTACACTGGCGCGATCTTGCGCCAGAGATATGCAAATGAGGCTAAGCGTGGAATATCGCCAAGCCTCACTTGCCTATCTAATGAGCCGCCATTTTTGCGGAAGAGGCTCTTGTGCCAGAAGGAGCTGTCTACACTGCCCCTTCTTGTGCAAGAAAAACCCTCTTGTGCAATGCCGTTATTCCCGAAAATAATCAGCATAGCGGCATTGTGCAAGAGGATTTTTCTTGCGTAAGATGGGGCAGTGTAGACAGCTCCTTCTGGCGCAAGAGCCTCTTCCGCAAAAATAGCAGCTCATTAGATATGCAAATGAAGCTCAGTGATATTCCATGCTTAGCCTCATTTGCATATCTCTGGCGCAAGATCGCGCCAGCGTAGATATAGCCTAAGGGTACGTCTACACTACAGCGTTAATTCGAGTTAACTTAATTTGAAATAGTTAATTTGAATTAGCTTAATTCGAATTAACGCATCTAAACACAAAACCTATTTCGAAATAGCATGTCCACACTGAGTGGACCCTGAACCGAAGTTAAGGCTGGCCAGAACCACTGCTGTCAGGGCATCAGGTTAGGCAGCAACCCCACACACTAAGTACTAAGGCTAACTGAGCTCTGTGCTTAAAGGGATCCTACCCCCACCCTGGACTGACCGTTCTCAGAGTTCCCCACTTGCTTGTCTACCTCAATGAGGGACAGCAAAGCAGTCCTGTTTTGGAGTGCCTGTACTCGGGACAGCACAGCACTCGGCCACATGGAGCATCTCTTGGGGTCGTTGCCATCAGCCCGGCTGCACTTGCTGCAGGCTGCCATCGGGGCGGGGTCTATTGGGAGGCTGTCAGGATCCAGGATGCCCTGCAGGAGAACGTCCACCCCAAGGAGCCCTCAGAGCCACTCCAATCCTCCCCACCAGAGGCTCGTGTTCCATTCCTCCCTCGCGTCCTTCCACTTACCCCTCCCTAGCCCCCCTTCCTGATGTCAAACAAAATACACGTATGTTCAAAAACAGAAACTGGGTTTATTGAGCAAAACTGGGGGAGGAGGGATGAACCTCTGGGGAGACTGGGAAAAAGAGGTGGAAGAGGGGAGAGAAACCTGGGAGGAGGGAGCTGGGGAGGGAAAGCTCGGGGCCCAGGGTTGGGGAACTTGCCAGACCAATTAATTTTCATGCAAACCTGTCCTGGGTTCGCATGTGGCCTTTGGTGTCCAGGCTGGCAGCTATCCTGCCATAGACAGCCGCATTCCTCCGTCTAGTGCGGAATAATGGCTGTTATTTTGAATTAACTTTGCAGTGTAGACATACCCTCAAAGATACTAAGCAATATTGAAAACCATTTTAAAATGCTGCTGTATGCATTTAATTGAATTTGAGTTGTCATCCAAACAAAGCTAGACACAAATCTTGTAGTTAAAAATTATTACATTTTTATTTTAGAAAAATTTAAGAATCTATACACAAATGGTAAGCTATGGATCTGCTAAGTATGTGTATAGGTATAGGCTGCGTCTAGATTGGCATGATTTTCTGGAAATGCTTTTAACTGAAAAGTTTTCCGTTAAAAGCATTTTCAGAACAGAGCGGCTAGCTTGGCATGGATGCTTTTCTGCAATAGCACTTTTTGCAGAAAAGAGTCCGTGCCAATCTAGATGCGCTTTTCCGCAAAAAAAAGTCCCGATCGCCATTTTCGCGATCGGGGCTTTTTTGCGGAAAACAAATCTGAGCTGTCTACTCTGGCCCTTTTGCACAAAAGCTTTGCCTAAATGGGAGCAGAACAGTATTTTTGCAAGAAGCAAATAGTGGGGTGTGAGGGGTAAAGAAATTCAAGAGGTCAGTGTAGACAGCTGGCAAGTTTTTCCGGAAAAACTGGCCAGTCTAGACACAGCCATAGAGTATTTCCAGCTTAACAAAAAGAATCTCAACTCTTACACTAAACTTAAGTTGTGAATCAATACATTTTAATAGTTTCCATTATTTAAATCATTTAATCTGATTTAAATATTTTGATTTAAAATCAGTTCACCTTGCTTTATAAACCTGGATAAATTATTTTGTTATTGATCAGTTGCTTCCTTCCCCCCCTCTACTTCTTGTACTACAATAAGCACTGTTTTGAGGGAGTGTGAGCACACACTTTCAACTCCACAAGAGGGTGTTTCATCTGTCGGATCCACAAAGATATTCTTTCCCCCTTGAATTTCTGTAGAGAACAGAAGCAGGTCTCAGTGTCTATGGGTGACATATAAGAGGTAACATATAGGAAAATGTACCTTCAGAAATCTGGGTTCAATTAATTGCTTATTAGAATCCCTGTTTGACCTTAGCCAGGTAATGCCTTCTCTCTGCCTCAATTCCCCATTTGCAATAAAGAAAATACTTTAATCTTGTAGAACTATATACACTTTGCTAATGAAAATCCATTGTGTGCAGAAGGAACAAATACCGTATTTTCCGGCGTATAGGGCGACTGGGCGTATAAGACGACCCCCTATCTTTTTAATTAAAAGATAGGGTTTCATCTTATACCCCAGCGCCCTTCCGCCTCCTTTGCTCCCGGTGTCCCTGGTCTGCTGGAGATGGTCCCCAGCAGACCAGAGGCACCGGGAGCAAAGCCGCCAGGAGCGCCTGGGGATGTACTGTTTTCTGGATAGCTTTTTACCAGTAAAGAAAAGTTAATTGTTTGAATAACCACAGGCTATGTCTACACAGCAGGCTTCTTGCACAAGAACTTTGTGCAAGAACTCTTGCACAAAAGCGCATCCACACTGCCATGTGCTTTTGCGCAAGAGCATCCATGGCAGTGTGGATGCTCTCTTGCGCAAGAAAGCTCTCATGGCCATTTTAGCATTAGGGGTTTCTTGTGCAAGAAACCCCTGTTGCTGTCCACACTAGCCTTTTTGCGCAAGAGCTCTTGCACAAAAAGGCTTATTCCTCATGGGAAGAGGAATAACTCTTGTGCAAAAGCCTCTCTTCTGACAATCTACTGTAACTTTTTTTTGCACAAGAATGCGTGTGCAGTGTAGACACTGCAAGTTTTTGTGCAAGAACAGCTGTTCTTATGCAAAAAGCCTCCAGTGTAGACACAGCCTCTGAAGGACTTGCCTAACTACAGCTTTGAATTTTCAAAATGTCCAAGATAAATGTCTTTGCAATCCCAAAATGATAGCACTTCTGATCTTTGGCTACTCCTATTTTTCCTTGCACAAACACACTCTTAACTTAAAGCAAGGGTATCATAAGAAGATGTTGAATACTTGGTGATCCTAGCTCTTACTGTTTAGAAGGAATGCTAAGAGAACAAGGGTGCTCAGAGTAAGACAGAAAGGGATTACTAGAATATTCCCTGATTCCTCAGCCAAACCTCCTCTAGCTCATCAGTGGGGGAGGTGTGCTGAGAGGAGAAAGCAGGGAAGTCTACAGCGAGGAGCGCTGAAGGGAACTGGCGTTCACACAGGGGCCAGAGTGATCAAGAAGCTTCATGGAGGAGCAGGGGGCAGGAGTGGAAGCATGGTCAAATGCTGGTATGGGAGGGGGGAGGAGAGCGCTTTAAAACTTCCCCCTATTTGGTCTTTTCCACGCTTCCCCCAGTCGCAGTCGTAGCCTGCCCCCACAAATACTTATTGCCTGTGGGGAGGGATGTAACGACAGAAACACCAACTTCTCCAAATTTGCTCCTTTGGGTGCACTGAGCACGCGCACCTGAACTGAGCAGACTCAGTAGCCTTT